AGAGCAATCCGAGTGCAAGAAATGCAGCCTGGAAAGAAAGATAAGAGAAGGGGGTCTGTCTTCTCCAGAAATGGGAAGACAGGGAGGACACGTGGCAATAGCCTTCCTGGACACAACACGCTATTAGCGAAACGTGGCGAACCACTGTTCTCCGAGCCCAGTGCAAATGGGAGAAGCACGAAGTGCTGATATTTTGGCAAAGATGCTTTAGGTCAGATATTAAGAAAATCATTCCAACCATGAGGGGAGCTCAGCTACAGAGCAGGTGATAGGAGCCCTACGGCGAGGTCCTCAGGAAATGGTAAGAATAAAACCTAAGAACGGGTATCTTGTCTCCTTACAACCACCCAAACTTTGAGCGCTCTTTGGGCTCCTTGAGCTCTGTTTCTGCCGCTGCTTGCCTGTATATGATCAGAGGGGGCAGGCCTTCTGCCCCAAAGCTCGACTGGTTCGGCGATGGCTCACATCGGACCGTATGCGTATTAGCCTGCCACGCTGCTCTGCAGTTGCCTCCCCTCTTCACCCGGAGCTGTGGAGAGACCCTTCCACCGAAACGCAGACTGACACTTCCCACTTGCCCACTGCCCTTTGGCTTTCCAGGGGGGTCCCTCTCCCCAGATTTAGCCCTTCGGCAGGTGGTCTGCCCAGCAGCAAGGCACACATCACAGAGGACGCCATTCCATGGGCTTATTCAGTCCAATGGGAATTAAAGACGGGTGAAGCTAGAAACTTGCCTCAACGCCCCATTCAGTTCCGGGGAAGGTTACGAGGGCCCAGAGCAAGACACGAGATCTCAGGGAGGGCCCCCCCATCCCAGCCCTGGCCATCAGGCATAGAGGCTCCCACTTCCTAATTTCATACCCCTGTTCTCAGCTGCGTTAATGCGTATCACTCACTCGGCTGGCAGGCACCAAGTGCGGGGAAATATATTGTACTCCTTGGGGAAGAGCCTGAGCATGCGGTTAAGGTTGCGAGCCAGCAAGTCCTTACGGCAGATCTCTATCATGCCTGGAAAATGGTTGATTTTCTGAAAGAGGTGCAGACGAAAAACAGAATCAGCAAAGGAACAGCAGGGATCCTCCTTGAGACCCGAGGAAAGCCCGCGTGCAGAGAAACCAGCAGGCAGAACAGGAAGCTGGGCCTGCGGTTGCCTTGAGTGTCTGCTGAGGGACAAGGTTACGCTACGGCTGCTTCATCTGAACTTCACCAGTGTGATTTATCGGCTTGTGCCATCTCAGCCCTGAAGCTCTCCCTCCCTAGGATAGCGCAGCTTCAGGAAGGGAGCCGTTTGTCATCAAGAACCATTTATTTCATACATTAAAGGGGCTGGCGGCTTTCCAGCCCACACTACTAACTGCCAAAGTGTTGCCGATGGCACCATACCAGGGACACAACAGAAGTAAAGGCTTGTGAACCTGCGCCCTCTGGAACCGACGCAGAGAAGGGGGCACGGGTGCTTGTTTGGACGCTTCTGTTCCATTGAGCAACACAATGTTGTTGCATTAACAGCCCCCGTCTCACCCTCCCTCCCTAGCTCTTCCTGCTGGGCAGCCTTTACGCGGGAGGATTTACCTGAAACCGCTTCATTTCCATGACGCGCTCCAGAGGGACCGAGTAGTCCGTCCAATACACTGTCCACTCCTCGTTTTCGCCCGCTTCTTTTAGCCCGCAGCACTGTGCCGCCCGCCGCACTGCACCAAAGCAAGCAGATGACAAGGGGCCGGGCAGAGGGTGCAAGTACCAGGGCCTGTTAAATCCCCACAGCAACCAGGGAGAAACCTCCCCAGGCTGCCACCCCACTCGCAGAGGTGCAATGTGCTGGCGGGACCCTTCGGGAGGCGTCAGAAACACAAGCTTTACCTGGCTAAATTCACCCCGGCCTCTGGCTGCACGCGTGCTGGGAGCTATCAGCCCCGTAGCCCGTGTGCCTTGGGGTCCCAGAGCATCTCCTGCTCTACAGCAGGCTTGAACCCACTGTGGGTCTGACACCACACGGGCAGATGCAAGTCAGCCGACAGTACGAGTTTCACCTTCCAAATCAAAAGCAATTTGGCAGCAGAACACTCGAGCTCTGGAGCAGAAGGTCACTGCTGGGGTGGTTCATGCTAGCGCCAGTTCTGAATTTGGCCTCTCATGGGGCTGGGGAGGCGATGAAGGTCAACGCACACCAGGAACCATTGCAAAACCGTTCGGGTTCCTGTGGCACCTGCGCTGCCACGCCAGCTCCTGTGGCGGGTCCCCATCCACCTCCCGTCACCTGGCTGCCCGCGCGTGGCCCCAGGCAAAACGCACAGCGCCTGCCCCTCCTTATAGAAACGGGGTTCCTCACGCCGCTGGGCGGGCTGTGACCTTCAGCAACGCACACGTGGTTGCGTGGCCGGAATGGTCCTTTGCAAATTGCCTAATAGCATCCATCAGACGATAGGCATCTGTTCTTGATACAGCTTGTGGCAGCAAAGAGCAAGTCAGGAGAGTGCACCGGCTCCCTGGAGGCGGATGGCAAAGGGAGAGGCTCCAGGTACCAATCCCGCCTGTTCCATCACCAGCTTTGTGTTAAACAGTGGAGAGCTCTCACGCCATTTCCCGAAGCGCAGGGACCAGCCTTGCATTGTAACCGCCCCTAACTAGACCCTTCTCACCAATTTT